TACCTACCTACTACTACTACTACTCTCTCTCTCTCTCTCTCTCTCTCTCTCTCTCTCTCTCTCAACAGGGCTGGCAACGGACGGCACCTCGAACTCCCCATGGGCCATCACATACCTGCCTCAGACTTAACCAGGCCAAAAAGGCCTACTCCCAAGCCCGGCCCCAGCCCTATCAGGGGGCCACATAAAAAAAAGACAAACTGCCGAACAATGCCGGCCTTAGCCTAGACCCGGCTCGGGTTTGCCTTTGGACTGTAGTTGCCCAACCCTGATCCGGCCTTCTGGCCACATTTCATAGCCTATGTCCCGGTTTTTTAAGACCAGGCCAACTGGCCCATTGCCGCCCATGATTAATTGCTAAAATAACTAAATACCAATTAAAATGCAGCAACCTGCGCTATTATAATAGAAATACCTTTTGTATATGTTAATGATGATATTCCGAGAAAGTCTATTTGCTCGAGTCATTCTCCAAACAATTAGTCAAAAGTATATCAAAAAGTTATCTTCAAAAGTATATCAAAAAGTTATCTATATTCTTGCATGATACCATTTGCCTTGAATCCGCGTCGAATGCTTAACTATTCAAACAAAACAAAGTATAAACGGGAAGAATAGTACCATTGTACTGTAGGGTTCTCGAGAACTCCTTGCAGAATCGGGAATCCCAAACACCGGGATTTCACTCAAGATCGTGTACATGATTGACTAAACGCGAAGTACGTGATTACAACTATAAATCGAGTGTGAGAAGTAAAGCAAACATAAAAAGCACACCACAACAACACACGATTTACGTGGTTCACACCGTAGGATTACATCCACGGCCTCGGCGACTCGAAATCCATTATCACAATAAAGATTACAGTTTTGAGTTACAATAGATAATACTTATCTATAAACATCGGTAAAAAATCATCACCGATCTTCCCTTTTAAACCCACTCTCCCAACTGAACAACACCGTCGATCAATCTCTTTCCCACTGTAGCGCCGCTACCGAAAAGATAACCTCGATAGCAATATAGAGATTTTCTCTCTCTAGAAGTATAAATTAACCAACACATGAGAATACCGTCTCTCTTTCGAAAGTCATGTCTCTCTATCTTGGAGACTCATCTCCATATTGAAGATCCATTCCCACAACCCCCAAAAGGCAACCCTCAAAAGGATTGGTATTATATCTTCATTCACTCTATTACATAGATCTCACTTTCTTTCGTCATAGATCTCACTTTCTTTCTTCCCAACAAAATCTATTTTCTATTTACCATAATACTTTTAATTTTCTAAAAAAAAATATGGGTATGGTGATTTAGCTATCACCAAACCCAACATGTACAAGACTAAACTAAGAGAACAGGACCACCCACCAATTTAGTCTCGACCAGCACGGGGCTGGTCCAACTGTCCCTCTCTCTTATTACCATTCATAAGTTTTAACACATTGTTGTCATTGTCTCTCTCTCTCTCTCAATATTAACACCTTTTCTCACTCATCATCATCATCATAGTATTTTTTTAATTAATCGGATCCGCTTTTCAAAATTCATAATAAATTTTGGCAAAATTTTATATTAATTATCTATCTAATACAACCCAAACCCCTTTACCCGAATATGTGATGAGTGAAAGAAAAGTTATGGTCATCATACCCAACACCTTTTCTCATTACTATTCGAAATTGTTAACACCTCTTTGTCATTGCCTCTCCCTCTCTCTCTCTCCCTCAATGTTAACACCTTTTCTCATTACTATTCAATATTGTCATATGCCTCTCTCTCTCTCTCTTCTCTCTCTCCCCCTAATATTAAATTCACCCAAACAGGCCTTGATCGAAATTAAAATTATCGAATTAACCAAACCCCATGATCCAGCTTCATGTGCAAATAATTTACATTCTTCTCCGGCAAATAATTTACACGGTAGCAATAGTAAGATTTCAAATATACAAAGAGAAATAAGAATGATATAGCGGATGGCACAGGCCACGAAAGGATCTTGTTATAAGGTTTTCTATTTTCGTAAAAATCTTAGCATAAAATTTTGTGCAGCACATGTCATGCACATCAAAGTTTTCATATATTGAAAGTTGTAATTTAATAGGCTTTGAAATTGGCCAGCATTCGACCAGGCCCCTACAGGCCGAAGAGGCCCCAGCCTTGGCCCCATATAGACAAAGCCAGGCCAAATACGATCCAAGAAAAAAAAAATGAATAAAAAGGAGTCAAACTGGCTTTTTACTGGCCCAGGCTAGGCCCTCAAGCCACATTATGTGGCACAAGCTCTAGTTTTTTGGGCCAGGGATGATCAGGTAAGTAAATGATCTTCATATATACATACATACAAACAATATATATAGCGAGAGAGTCGTGATTTGTATAGGTTTGAGGCCCTAAACAATCAAAGTAAAGGTGTACCTCTAAATGGTGTAGAAAAATGTCTTTTCATTAGTAAAAATGTTTGTGATGGCCCGAAAACATCTCTAATTATAAATTTTTATAAGAGCTTCACAAATAATATAAACACTTTAAAATTAATGGCCCAGATAATACATTACAAGATGTATTATTTCCTTTATTTGAAATCTATTTCTTTTCATGTCTAACATCTCGAGGTCGAGATGATCAATTTGACCGTTTTTTGACATCTCGAGGTCGAGATGATCAATTTGACCCTTTTTTGACATCTCGAGGTCGAGATGAATTTTTGAGGTGCGCCTTGATGTTATTGTTTAGGGCCTCAAACTTATATAAAATTAAAATAAATAAACAATTAAAGAATAGAAGGGCCAATATGACTTACTTGTTACAGAGAGGGACGATTGCAAAGTCTATTCGCTGCAAAACTTGAGTCTTGTTTCAGGGTAAAATAAGGGGGGTTTTATGGGTGATAGGATGGCTTTAGTGAGAAGAAAAGTAGACAAAAGAAGACAAAACGTTTCGTGTCAAAAGCTTGCGAGGAGACCTGCGAGTCAAGAAAAGGAGCACTCCGTTATGACTCTAAGAATATAATTTGGTTCAATATATCCAAGATCGAAGAGAGACTAAGTTATCACGTCCGAAAATGAAGCCTTAAAAACCACATAAAATATCAAGAAATAAATAAAATAGATTTGGAATTCTTTCCGATGTGTAACTGAATTATGGTGCTTACTTATGAGATTTTCGGGGATAATTATGCATATTTCATCATTTACTAAATAGTTAATCTAGCTTCTTTATCCGCTTATCCTTTTCGGAAGGAAAATAGTTGAGCATAAACGGAGACGCTGTAGCCGCGTAAATGAAGCCAAAAGGCTACATGCTCCTGCGGGAGCATATGATGAATTTACTCCCACCTATCATACCTCTTCAACGACCAACCTCAAAAATAATTAAAAATTAATAATCGTAAAAGGAATAAGTTTATGTATGTTTGTAACCTTATATTGTTGAACTAAGATGCACCTCAAAAATCCTATAGTGTAGAGTAAGAGGGCACTATTTTTGAAATTTGAAATCCATTTTTTTCTCATGTCCATGCATCTTGATGTCCAAAAGATCAATTTGATGATATTTAAACATCAAAACAACATCTTCCAGTGAAATTTTTGATAGAGGCTCTAATTTGATTGTTTAGAGCTTAGGCTCTATATAAACTTTTCCCAAAAATAAATGATACAAAATATAAATGCGCCTTACATCCACCATGTAAGGAGGCAAACTCACAACCTTATAAAAATCTCACCCATAATAAAAACATACCCAATCTTGCTCGAA